GGGGTGATAATGGGCATCCAGGGCACATACTTCTTAAAATGAGAAATGTTTCTGACAAGTGTCCATTTATTTTTACAGCTCTATATGGGAGCTGATATCCAGTTTTGAAATTTTTACAGCTCTATATGTGGAGCTGATATCCAGTTTTGAAATGTTGTTTCTAGTCCAAAAGCATCTATTTGTTGGGGGTTTTTTTCCTAAACTGCCAATTGACTCAATCAAAACCATTTTCAGGATCCAGTGGTAAAATAGGTGGGGTTCATTAATTGATTTGGAATAAAAAAATCAAATCTAATACTGTGGATATTATCAATCAACTACTTATTCTTAATGAACCCTGTTTGGTTAATGTATTAAGGGAGTATTTTTAATCTGCTAAAACCAAGGGCAAGTTTTGTGTGTCTTCAGTAAAGAATTAGGTCTGCTTGAAGCACAAGTAGATAAATCCTTACTAGGTTTTGGGATTACTGCAATATGAGCTGCTCTCCTGGTTTCAGAAGACTTTTTTTCATTCAGTATCTCATTAAAAAAACTTCTGGTAATAATGGGTGATTCCTAACATTTTTCTAAGGGGATGTTTCTAGTGTTTGTTCATTTATCCCCCCTGTCAGCTGCTGGTTCTAGCTGCCCTGTGCCATTGAGGTTCACTGCTCTGCCGGCTGGGAGCTCTTGAGGCTTCCATGGGTGCTGTTCTTTTAATTCGGCTGCTTCATAGGGGAGTCTGCATGTTGGTACCTGGAGTTCAGGTCCAGCAGTATTTGACCTGCAAACATGGAAAAAGAATAGTTTTGATTTAAAAATCTTCTAGTAGCCTTAAGGACTAAGAGCCTTAATTAAGCAAATTGAAGTTGAATTGACTAGTTTTCAGCTACTTGTGTTCTATCAGTACCCAAAAAAGTGTGGATCATGAATGAAGCTTAACTAAGCAGCAAAGGGCTCAAATATTCATTAAGATATGTGAGTTTTCCTGCAAGTAGGTTGTATGGACAATTCAAGTAGCACTCACAAGGTTTTCTTGGAACTAATGTTCTGCTTTGGGTGGAATAGTTAATGGGCTAAGCAATAGCTAATTTGGGCACCCATTACATACCAATACTGTAGCAAAACAGGGATGCCAAATGGGTGCATTCCTTTTTCAGTTGAAAGCATTAAGTTCCTCCTTTGTAAAATACTTCAGTACATTTAAGATTTGTATCTCTGTTTGATTATGGATAAACATTTACTTTGTCCGTTGCACTCACCTTTTAATAGAGTTCCTTCTGGCTTGTCAGTCTTTAACCATAAAGAAAAGTTGACACGCTAGTGAACTGTTTGAGGAATTTGTTTAAGGGATGAAATTTGCCTTCTGGATGGATACTGAGGCTCACGCTATGACATCAAACTTTGCATATGCCTAAGCAGTGTAATGTTTAATGTTTTTGCATGTGCAGATGTCATAAAGAAGCTTTTGAGATCCTAGGCCTTGGACATATTTGGTTGTGCTTATATATGCCCATATGTTTTGTAGTGCTACAAAGATGGTGTATCAAACAGAAACTTCTCTGTAGCACTGTGTTTGCGTGGCGTCTTTATGAAGCACAGACGGTTGCATCAGTATTTCTGCAGTAGTTCTCAGCAGTTCTACAGAAGGTTTTTGGCCTCTCAGTGCTCTGTTCTTCCTTCCCTGCTCCAGTATGGAGGGAGGGAGAGTGGTGGGGCTCCCTGACAGCCTACAGAGACCAAAGCTACACCTGTGTTAGCCACGAGCTGTCAGCCGCTGCTGCCCAACAGGAAGCAGCAGCTCTGCTGGGGACCCTGCTGCTGCCAGGGTGATGACAGAGGCCAGTGCCACTGTCCCTGAAGCTGTGGCACTGCAGAGGGTGCCTCCATTTAGGGACAGCACAAACAGGTGTTGCTGTTATAGCAGTGGGAGTGGGAACTGCTGCTGCTGCAGTGGCAATGGTGGTCCTGGCAGCAGCAGTTCTTTCCCCCTCACCCCCTCTGTTAGTATTACAGGGAGGGTGGGGAGGTGTCAGGCAGCTTATTGCCCCTGGGACTAGGACAACAGCCCTTTTCCTGCTGCTCTGGTTGGGGAGAAGGCAGGCTCACAGTGATTGGGGTCACTGAGAAGCTGCAGGGAGTGAAGAAAGAGCACTTTGTTGCCCCTTGGCTGGAGAGCACCTCTTTGACTGCTTTGTAGCACTCCAGCCAGGGGCTTTCAATGTGTAGGCCCCCATAGTGCTGTAACTTCTGTACTGAGGTGCTTAGTTGTCCTGTATGTCAGTGTAATAAACCTTGCAATCCTAGATATTTTCAACTTTGTTACTTGGCAGTAGTGCAAATCTGGGACTGGAAATTGAAGGGTTTTCTTTGGATGGTATAAACCAGAGCTGTCCAATTGGCAGCAGGTGCAGACCCCAATGGGGTTAAATTGCGGCCTTCAGGCTCCCACCTGGCTACCACTCCCCCTATTGCATTCGCATTAGCAGCTGGGGACCCGGGTTCCCAGTCCGCTAGCTTCCCCTTTCTTCCCCTGCCCTCAGGAGGTTGTTGTGGAGTGGGTGCAGCACAGCACAGCCCAGCCCAGCCTAGCCTGCAGTGCAGCAAGGTGCTTGCAGCTGGGAACGGAAGGGTGAGTCAGGGTGCCAGGCAGGTGGTGCAGCAGGGGACAGATACCGGGAGGAGCAGCAGGTTAACCATTGATTAACCATTATGCTAAAATTTACCTTGGAGTTTTCCATCTATATATATATATATATATATAACAGACACTAACTTTAGTCGTGTCCCTTAATATATCTTGGAAGATATTTAGAAGTTGATATTTCCCATACGTATTATTACACTATTTTATAATCACTAAGGGTTGATCATAAAATGTCTTCATGCATGATTGGCATCTATAGATTCTTATGCAATATCTCATATTGTGCAATTAATGAATTGTTCTGTATCTTAGATATATGTTATAATAGTCATCAACCTGCTCTTTAGTAAGTCACCGAATGGCTTTAGAATAATGAATCTTAAAAGCATTTAGAGCTGTGTGAATGTGTTCTCCACTTGTTGGCCAAGCTGAAAAATCAAAACAAACTTATCTTTGCTTGACAAACATTTCTTTGACTGCAAACACTTAATTTTGTCTTTCGGGTTTTCTTTTTTAAATAGCAATTTTCTAAACTATGGCATTGCATAGAAATAACTTTTTCTAACTGTTGAAACAAAAATGGTTCAGACTTCTTTATTTAGTGGCTGAAACTTAGCAAAAACAATTACTCAATTTGACCAGAACTTACAAATAATCTTGGTCACCCAAAGCTACATTTTTCAGTGAATAATTTTAGCTAAAATTTTTTATCTAGGAATAATGTGAACCATATAACTGAGGGACTTTCATTTTGATAACTCCCTTCCTCCCTCTCTCCCACCTCTTGTGACACAATTTCATTTTAATACATTTTTGGGGTGGGGCAAGTATACATGGGTGGCTTGGGCTTTAATTCCTACAGAGGCACGCTGACCAGGAGCTGTTGTCCTTCATGACGAGATGTCATACAGGCCTTGTGTCAGAAATTCAGATGCCCATCTGAATGTTGGGTAGCAATCCCTGGCACATCAACAGAAAACTGTATGGACTTGTTTTGAAACAGAATGCAACTAAACATTTGCTACATCTGGTACTATTGCAAGCTCTTTAGGACTGAGTTTAGGTTTTTTGTATAAGTTTAAGCAATGTCCAGCACAGTATTATCTATGCCACCATTTGTCACGAATGTCAGACAATTAATGCCAAATTTTCTGTGCTTTATGGAAATGGACTTCTGTTTGTTTCAATCATGTTTCAGTGTGAAACTTCCATATTCTGCCTCTGGCAAGGTCATAAGGAACTATTCACATTGTCTCCATTGTTTGCAGTATCCACAACAGCAGAGACGCACACCTTCATAATCTGATTTTGCTGGAATAGTGAATGTAGTTTGATGGTCAGATGACATTTACCTATTTAACAAAAAATGCATGTATCAGAACCTCTGGATACATACTGTACAACCACAGTTCCCAGGCTGACTTTATCCAGTCTCTGCTATGCAAGTTGCATATATGGATGAATATAGTACAGAAATAAAAGGGGTTAGAAAATGGGCAGCAAGGGAACAAATGTGGGAGGGTGCTATGTGAGTGAAAAGGGAAGTATTGCTAGACTTTCTTTTAAAGAGGACACAAATACTGGTAAAAGGGGACAATACAATGAATGGCAGGCAAAGGGTAACATGCACTTTTATGTTGCTCTCTAAAATAGAAGAGCAAGAGGACAGTTGTCAAAAATGGACTGCAACAAATTGGTGATCCTGCATCAGTATGGGAGTAGGTCAGATGGCTTAGTTTCTCTTACCAGGTTTTTTTTTGGTTTTGTTTTTGTGATTTTTTTTTTTTCTTAATGAAACTGTGAAGCTTCACAGACAAAGCTATATCAGGCTGTTATGGATTTATCAGGGTAATATTTATGATTATTTCTGGTAGTTTGGGAAAAGCTAATAGGTAGAATGATGTGGAAAATGTTATTCTTTGTTCCAAGTTATTATGCTATCAGTTTCCCTTGTGATGTTAATGTATATGAGAATCTGTTCATGATGTAACCATTGGTGATTGCAGAACATTATCTTGGGGTGGGGGAATCATTAGAAATACTCTTAAGGAGTGCGTTTCCTTGGTATTTTATCATTCTAACCTGTATATATTAGAAAGTTGGAAAATACTTTGTGTGATAGGATAATCATACTGTGTAGCCTCTATAGTGACCTGCACCAAATCAGTTGTGCAAATGTAACTGTATTGGAAAAGACCAATTCTTTAATATGATCTTTGCACACTCCAGAAATAACTTGTGCCTTAGCATCACCTCTTTGTAAGACTAGGGCCATGTTAACAACCCTTAAGTGAGGTATTAGAATAGAAAATGCAGCTGATGATCATGCATACTTGCTTACTTACGTGAGATTCTTGTTTTCTCTTCAGCGAAGTATCCAGCAATCAAGTCTCTAATGGGACCAGATCCCCATTTAAAATGGATTGTTTTTGGAATGGTTTTCTCACAGCTGCTAGCCTGTTACTTGGTGAAGGATTTATCATGGAAATGGATTTTCTTTTGGGCTTATGCTTTTGGGGGTTGTGTCAACCACTCGTTGACCCTCGCAATCCATGATATTTCACACAATGTTGCCTTTGGAAACAAGCAGGCTAAATGGAATAGATGGTTTGCTGTCTTTGCCAACCTGCCAATTGGAGTTCCTTATTCTGCTTCGTTCAAGAAATACCACATTGACCATCATCGATACCTTGGTGGAGATGCACTGGATGTGGATATTCCGACAGACTTTGAAGGCTGGTTCTTTTGTACTCCGTTTCGGAAACTAATCTGGCTTGCCCTCCAACCATTGTTTTATAGCCTCAGACCGCTCTATGTGAACCCCAAAGCAATCACTCACATGGAAATATGTAATGCTCTGGTACAGTTTACTCTAGATTTCATAATATATTTCCTTTGGGGATTGAAGCCTGTTATTTATTTAATAGCGGGCTCATTACTGGGCATGGGCATACATCCAATTTCTGGACACTTCATTGCAGAACACTACATGTTCCTAAAAGGGTATGAAACTTATTCATATTATGGACCTTTGAACTGGATCACCTTTAATGTTGGCTACCACATGGAGCATCACGATTTCCCCAGCATTCCTGGATGCAAGTTGCCAATGGTAAGCATGCAAGTTTTAACAACTGAATTGGGTCCATGTAAAAATTGCTACATCGTTCTACTACAACCTTTCTTAATTAAGCAATAGGTCCCTACAATTTTTAACTAAGACTGCAAGCATATCTTGAAATTTCCTGAAGGACTATTCTGGAAGAAGATAGGCAAGGAGTCAAAATGTAAGTTATAGGACAACATTATAAGGTTTAGATAATATGGTAATTGCTTCAGCATAAAAAATATTGCTAGTAAACTGAAGAGTTGAAGCTGAGGCTAAGTTCACCTTCCTTTCTACAAGGCTCGTAGGTATGTACCAAGGTGGAAGCTAGACAAATATGTTGGTATGTGTCACAAGTACATGTAGGTGAAAATTAATTGGAGCAGAGAGATGGCTTCATCATCAGTTGTGTTGAAAATGTATGCCTGATCTCTAGAGTAATGTCTCTAGTGGGTTATGGAATAGAGAAAATCCCACACAATTTACTGATTCGTTTTGATGCACTGGCTGGGGGAGTAGTTAGCTGATTGCACGATTTCACAATGAATACACTCTTAATTTATACAACACAATTTTATTTTAAAACTCTTTGCTACGTATATAACACTGCTTAGCTTTAAGAAACACCACAAACATTAAGAACACAATAACTACATATATCAGAAACAATGCTCCGAATGCACTTCCTTCCCAAACAATGCTTCATAAATTTCATAGACATTAGGGCTGGAAGGGACCTCGGAAGATCATCGAGTCCAGCCCCCTGCCCAAAGGGCAGGAAGTCAGCCGGGTTCATAGGATCCCAGCAAGATGAGCATCCAGTTTGCTCTTGAAGGTGTTCAATGAAGGCGCTTGAACCACCTCTGGTGGCAGGCTATTCCAGACCTTGGGGGCTCGGACAGTAAAGAAATTCTTCCTTATGTCCAGCCTGAAACGGTCTTGAAGTAGTTTATGACCATTTGACCTAGTCGTCATCCCTTGGGGCGCTCTGGTGAACAGACGTTCCCCCAGATGCTGGTGGTCACCCCTGATAAACTTGTAGGTGGCCATCAGATCACCCCTGAGCCTGCGCTTTTCCAGGCTAAAGAGCCCCAGGGCTCTCAGCCTGTCATCGTAGGGTCTGCTTCCCTGACCTCTGATCATGCGCGTGGCTCTTCTCTGGACTCTCTCAAGCTTCTCCACATCCTTTTTGAATTGTGGAGCCCAAAACTGGAAGCA